GAGCAGGGAGCCCGATGTGGGACTCGATCCAGGGACTCCAGGATCATGACCTGAGCCGAAGGCAGTCGCTCAACCAACTGAGCCACCCAGGCGCCCTGTGTGAGGTTTTTTTGTTGTTTTTAAGCCAATAAATGTATTTTTTTTATATAGTTGGGCACTACTGTTACAAGCAAATGTTCGGTTTCATTTGGGTTTTGGGAAACACAAGGAACAGCTAGCAGTCCAGCTGCATGTCATTTAGGGAGCCAGGGCCAGGAACCATTGCCTTGGAAGCCATTTTGCTTTCTCAGGTAGTTGGAAATCTAAACATTTCTCAGACCCCAGCTCTCCAGGGACTTGATTGAAGCCATGGGATATTCTTCTCAAATTTTGGTTATTTAAGATGAAGGCTTTCCTTGGTGCATGATTTACTCATTTCTAACCCTGTGCCTTCACCCACTACCCCTCCTTCCCTTGTCTTTGTCACTTTTTCCAAAATGCCATCCCAAACTTACCTCTAAAGCCTGAACCAAAGCTCTCTTCCCTAAGACTCTACCTTATAATTCCTGATTCACTTCTCATTTTTTTTTTTTTAAGATTTTATTTATTTATTTGACAGAAACACAGCAAGAGAGGGAACACAAGCAGGGGGAGTGGGAGAGGGAGAAGCAGGCTTCCCGCTGAGCAGGGAGCGCAATGCGGGGCCTGATTCCAGGGCCCTGGGACCATGACCTGAGCCAAAGGCAGACACTTAACGACTGAGCCACCCAGGCGCCCCACTTCTCTTGGTTTTCAACCATATTCATTTGCACTTCCTATTAACTTTATATTCTTAGACTGTTTTTATGTCTACTATTAAGTTGTAGACCTTGAAGACAGGGTCCATTTCTTTTTTATTATTATCCTTATTATTTCAAATATCAAAACCTAGTATGGTTTAAGATGAGTACCTAATTAAATGAGGAAATGCTGAATGCCATAATAAATATCAGGAAAAACTATTTTGAGATTTTTGATGTTCATCTCTAGATGCTACTAACTACAAAGGGAAAATGTATTCTATATAGGAGAGAGATTGGCAGTTACCACCTTAACCAAGCAATCCAACTCAGCATAATTAATTGTGAGACATTCTAACCTGATATGGTTCCAGGGTGCTATAATGTCAAGTACATAATACCATCTATTAAGTACTTTGCAACAATGTTTAACCTGAATCTAATAAAGCCTGTAGACCTACTTCCAGTTTAGAGGAAATGTAGGCTTATAGCGCTGTCCAATAGAACTTTGTTTTTTCAATAGCTTGTTTATTTTTTAAGATTTTATTTATTTATTTGACAGAGAGAGAGACACAGCGAGAGAGGGGACACAAGCAGAGGGAGTGGGAGAGGGAGAAGCAGGCTTCTTGCCAGAGAGCCCGATGCGGGGCTCGATCCCAGGACCCCACGATCATGACCTGAGCCAAAGGCAGACACTTAACTGACTGAGCCACCCAGGCACCCCAGAACTTTCTATAATGATGTAAGTGTTCTATATTTGCACCACCCAATACAGTAACCACCAACCTACTGAATTTTCATTTTCATTTCAGTCGTGCCCCATTTTCAATGTGGGCTCAGTCGTTAAGCGTCTGTGAATTTCGTGTGGGCCAACATTTCTCTCTGTCATTTCCTTGTAGATAAACGGCAGTAAGCACCATTTATAGAAAAAATCTAAATTATGTTAAAGACCTTAGTTTTTCCTATAAACCAATCCAAGACCATCATTATTTATTGTAGCAGAACACCTCAAGACAGTCTAGACAGTCTCCCTTGAAAGTAGTTTGAGAAGGTGAGTAGGCTCTTATAAGTAAGGGTGGAGATCTTCTGCTTCTGTTCTCAGTCCCTGACTTTGATGCCATCAGGGCCCTCCCTGCCTTGTTCTAAGCTAAGTGGACTATGAAACTTGGTTCCTTGGGGTGATCTCTTCCCACTCCCTCCTTTAGAGAAAAAAGTAACCCTCAAACCACACAGGGCGATCTCTTCCCACTCTGCTTTCAGAGAAAAAAGTAACCCTCAAACCTCACCAGCGGAAACTGGGAACACAAGTGGCTTGTGTCTTTCCCTGTAACAGGGCTGGATGCCCTGCTGTTTTATCCTAACTGCCCCACTAACAGCCGGGATGACAGAATCATCCCCTACCCGCCGTGGCCTCCAGCCCTCCTCTGGATATTACAGTTCTTCAACAGCAAGGCCAGATTTAATCCATGTCTGCTCTCCAAGAATGAAGCCTCTAAGACTCCAGGTGGGCAGGCCGGCACTCCTACCTCCCACTCCTCGCGTAAGCATTACACATCTGTTCATCTGGATCCACTCAGTTCCCCTCCTTACCCATCTAGTCTTTGATGTTCTTTTTTCATCCGTGCCCAAAGGAAGCATCATCACTTTATTCAGGAGATAATCAAATATAATACAGGGCTGACACTGACAAATAGCTGCACAGAGAATTACATAAATCTGCTCCATTTCCCAGAAGAGACTCAGTCACTGTAAACAAGGAAGAAAAACCAGGACGGTGCCTAATCCACTGCAGGGTTTCAAGCAAGTGTCCCCACACTCCCGGAGTGAAAGTGGGCCTCAGGTGGAGGTGATCCTTTCAGCAGAAGGAGGGGGAGGCAGCGCCCATGCAGAAGTCCGTCGCCGGAACCCCACCAGGCAGCGCTCAGCGACAGGCCTTGTTAAACTCCTGGAGGGCCCAGCGCTTGTTCTCAGCTGCCTGCTTGAGTTCAGTGTACTCTTTTACCAGTCTGTCAAACTCCTCCCCAAGGACCTCATAGGTGCTCAGGACCTGTCGGGACTTCTCCATTTCCTGCTCTTGTAGGCGAATGGCCCCCTCCAAACGGTCCCTATATGCCCGGGGAAGAGAAGATACAATGTAAGGATCTCGCTCCTCAGAAAGGAGACAAGAATGTGAACACATTAAAATGAGCAGGTTGGAGAGTGTGGGACCAGGCCCTTGGGAGTTCTCACCTAATGAGACGATGAACTTCCACCTTCTCAGCAGTATAAGTGTCAGACAAGATCTTTAGCTCCTCCATCCTGACAGAGGGGAAAAAAATGCTGAGGGTCCCTGATGGGAGCAGAGTTAGGAACAGGACATAGTATCTGCCCATGGTCAAGATGTGGGCTAAGCAGTGACAGGATAAGCAAGGTCACTCTGAATTCCTGAGTAACGTATCTCACAAGAGTGCACCTATTTCGGAAGGCTTTAAAATGAGACTCAAGGGGCACCTGGGTGGCTCAGTGGGTTGAGCATCCAACTCTTGATTTTGGCTCAGGGTCATGAGACCGGCCCCATGTTGCACTCAATGCGGAGTCTGCCTGTCCCTCTCCCTCTGCTCCTCCCCCCAACTCACATGCTCTCTAAAATATTAAGTAAAATTAAAAAATTAAAAAATGAAATAAAATAAGACTCAAGAATGTTGAAAGGGGGCGTCTGGGTGGCACAGTCTGACTCTTGGTTCTGGCTCAGGTTGTGATCTCAGGGTTGTGGGATCGAACCCCGTGTCAGGCTCTGTGGTCAGCGCAGAGTCTGCTTGGGACCCTCTTTCTGCCCCTCCCCATAGTGCATGCTTGTGCTCTCAAAATAAATAAATCTTAAAAAGAAAAAGAAAAGAATGTTGAACACTTCTGGGTAATCCAAAGGCTAATAGTGCTGTGTGCCATTAACTGAAGACCCACAAGATGCTAGGCATGGCAGACAGGAAAGAGAGATAAGGGGGAGGGTGTGTGAGACCAAGTTCCCGAGACCCACAGGGGGCATAGAGCTCACCTCAGCTTAAGGATCATGGCACTGCACTTGATCTCCAGGTACTGGGCATTGATGCGGTCCAGCTCAGACTGAGTCTTAAGCCGGTGCTCCTGAAGAAGCCTCTGCAGCAAGGCAAGGCAGCGCAGAAGTACCTGAGCCCCGGGGAGGCAGGAAGAGGGCAAAATCAGAAGTCAGTAGAAAAGAAGGTAGATCAAAACTCCTTGGCTTCCCCAAAAGTGCCCCTGGCACCAGGATAAAAGACACAAGAGGCTATCCCACTGCTCTGACAAACCTGGGAGTAAGTGGCACTCTTCTTCTCGAGCAGCACTGTCTGCTCCTTCTGCTGGCTCTTGGCACCCTGGCATTGCTGCTTCTCACCCACCAGGACCTCTGCCAGTTTCCACACCTTTGCTGCCTTCAAGGTTTCACTGTCGGAATCTGGGCAAAGAGACAGAGGACTAGGGGTGCCTGGGTGGCTCAGCCGGTTAAGCGTCTGCCTTTGGCTCAGGTCATGATCCCAGGGTCCTGGGATCGAGCCTCGCTTCGGGCTCCCTGCTCAGCGGGGAGCCTGCTTCTTCCACTCCCCCTGCTTATGTTCCCTCTCTCACTGTGTCTCTCTCTGTCAAATAAATAAATAAAATCTTAAAATAATAATAATAAAATAAAACAAAGAAGAGAGGACTGACAGGAAAACCCTAATTGCTACTGCCCTTCTAAGGCCATTTTTCAGTGTGCTATCCCACATCTAGCCCTACAAATTCTTCAGGTTTGCTTCTCGTGTCCTCTTAAAAAGACCCAGTTCTGGGGCGCCTGGGTGGCTCAGTC